CGTCCGCAGCAGACACATAATTATTCATACATATATACAAATTGTACCTTGCTCTGCGAAGCAAGAAGCGCTAAGCGTTCAATAACTCTTATAATGTTTGCTGTGTTCGCGCTCAATAATTGCTCTCTTTGTACATTTCCTTTTGTTATCCTTTTCTTAGTCTATGTAGCTGCCAGTGCAGCTGCAATCGAAGTTAGTTGACCTAGATTCGCCGTGCCAATCTAACGCTTCTCGCTGTGCTGTTGTACGAGACAACGAACTTATACTTTTGCGCATATTGTTTAAAGGCTCAACTATTTGAGTTGGTGGCCTTTTAAATTCGTGTATATCAATTCGGTTATAGACAAATATAATTGGCCCTGCGCGGCAATTTTAATATGTACATTAAAAAGAAATCGTTCTTGTTTTAATTGTCGTGTCTAACGCCCGCTTCAGACAAAACCCATAGACTAAAAAAGGCTACCTAAAAAGCTCGGTGCCTCAACAATTACAAATTTCCAAAGAAATAGGCGAAGTAGCAATGACAGCTGACTTCAATAACGACGAAATAACAGCTTGCTTCTTTGAAGACGAAATATGAAAAAATGAAAATGAATAAAAGAAAGAACAAACGAAAAGTAGCTGAGTGCGTACAAACAAACATGTATGGTGTGATAACTACGTTAAAAGCCATCATGCTGCGCAGAGCAATGCTACTCAAACTTGAAGTTAAAATTTATGATTTATGATGTATTGGCCTGAAGGACCTTGACTTTCTTAAGTCAAGTTGATTTGATGTGATGTGATGTGCGACTGCGACCCGGAGTCGAGTGCACAACATGGCACCATTGTGCCCGAACAATTTTTTACCATGACAATGGCAGTAGCTAGAAACACTACATCGTTACCGAGATTCTGGGCTGCAAGAGAGACAGGATATGCGGACGACGGATAATCTGTAGCGCTGTGAGCAGACGTGGATAGCATTGGCTCGGACATGTGAACAGTTGAGGCGGTAACCTGAGCACTTGATGCACTCGAGCCAGAATTTCCGATATGCAATAGGGTGTGATGCTTTGAACGACATTTACAGCAAGCAGTGCACACCCGATACTGATGCCCTTTTCGTAAGCAATTAAGGTAAAGTGTAAGCCTTTTTCCTTCTTTAATACGCAACGCAGAATACGCAGCCAAGAGGATTAGTAGCAACAAATGATCTATTATTTGCGTTAGTAATTTTGTTGATCTTTCCAACCTGTGAGCAAGGCGTTTGTGTTGCCATAGCATGATCCAATTTTCCATTGTCTGACAGCGCCGTTCAAGAAATTTAGAAAACTGCTCCCACGAGGGAATCGTGCCTTGCGATGTAGACTCCTCCCATCTAGTTTGGGTTACACTGTCAACTTTTTGAAGAAGCGTATGTACGATTATGCAGCTAGCTATGTCATCCGCGCTGCCGTAGGGCACGCATATGGCCATTGAATTTATCCGAGAATGCGCGTAACTTGCCAACTGCTCCATTATCTACTCTCTTGAGCGCCATTATCTCTGCGATGTGTGCCTGAAAAATCAAACGCTTTTCATTAAATCGCTTTTCAAGTAACTCTAATGCAGGCGAATAATTATCGTCACAAATTTCCAATGAACGAATCGTGTCCAGTGCTGCGCCCCTTAGACATGATGGCAGATGCTGTAGCTTGTCAATTTTTGACAAACTTGGCTCATTGTCGATGACTGAGGAAAGCATTGAAACGAAATCGCCCCATTCGGTATATGATCCACTGAAGGTAGACAAATTTAGCTCAGTCAGTCGCACTCTGGTAGATGAAGCAGCAAAGGGGTACTGCCCGATCGTAGCTTCCGGCCGGAGAGTTGAACAGGTGGGCAACTGAGAGTTGCGCAGACGAATTTGAGATTTAATTCGCGTCTGCAGACTTGCCACTAGTTTACAAAAGTCCTCTCGCAGCTGACTGCCAATTTCCTCGAAACACAATTCCTCCAGTTCGTCATGCACTGAGTTAAATGACGACCGCAATTCATCGAGAATATTATCATAGATGGCCAATTCGTCATGGCTCAAATCGTTAATCTTATCACCATCCTGCAGCAGCTTAATTAAATCTATGCAGAAGGCAAATGAGCAAAATAAAGAACAAACGAAAAGTAGCTGAGTGCGTACAAACAAACAAGTGTGGTGTGATAACTACGTTTAAAACACTCATGCTGCGCAGAGCAATGCTACTCAAACTTTAAGTTCAAATTTATTGATGGGTTGACTGCTGGACCAAACAAACTGTAATGTTATATTCTGTATAAGTTTGCTCAGGTGACTTTTGAGCTCCTTGTACACTGGATAGACCCTTTAGTTTGATGTGTAGTTGCATCCGTAGTTGATGAAATTTTTCGGCAAGAGGTCTTCTTTATATTTGGGAAGCCACACGTACAGAGCGTTGTGTGCATTAAGCTTTAAAATGGATATACTCCTGACAGTTGATTTATTAGACAGAATCATTTCTGTTAATTTCGTTTCATCTATAGTTATTCGACGATGCAGAAGGTATTGCAAGTTATAGATGTGGTGCACGTCATTTTAGGCAAACGGTTTGTTTTCGGGCTCAAGCTCTATTTTGTACATAGGGTGCGGAATTTTATTTTTATTACAGTTCAACACATTAATGTATGGTATTGTGATAATAACAGTAACATTAATAAAGAATATAATAAAATATGTGTAGCGTGGCTCCAACGGTCGTAGATCGTAAATTCTTATTATTACACTTAGAGCCACCTAGCGGCCATATTTAGTTGATGACGGTTGGCATGGGGAAAATATTATTTGTCATAGGCGGTTCAGTATCTCCTATCGTGGCGCTCGCACCACTTTCATAAGTCAGCACCGAGAACAAGTTTTCAAAAAGTGAATAGAAACGAAAGTATTTAAACTGCATGAATAGCAGTGTCCGAAATTTAAAGTTGTTAAAAGAAAAGGTGTCAATAAGCAATCGCGAGTGTCAGAGTTTGGTTAAGAAAACCTTATAGGTCTTTGGGATTTTTCTTCGCCTGTTATTGCAGGTTGGCTACCCATTTTGGGTTATATTTTGTGGAGCTGTGCATTTGTATGGCTCCGACACGCCCAGTCGTGCATACATTTCTTTTGATGGCCTCATTTTCTTGGACGCCAGCGCAACAAAACCGGCACAACTGAGCTCGTAGAGGCGTTTTTTTTCTTTGTGCTACGAATCGGTGCTCCCGTTGGATGAGAGAGCAGTAGACGACCTCGTCAAGATCGCCGAAAAACATTCGGGTCAACATAGGCACCCCCCACAGCTTAGCTGCTAGCTAGGGCATGGCTAGTACCCTTTAGCGCCTTCGTCATCGCGGTAGTTTCAACCCGTTTTATTTTAGTATTTGTTCTTTGTGTAAAAATGCATTAAGAATTTTGTGAGGTTAAACCTTTGCATTAAGCATTGAGCCAAAGAAATCGGTGTTTTGCTAGTTTTTTTTTTGTTATGATATTTTTATGCCGAGAGAGGAAATTAATCCTCATAGCGTTTGCTCAAACCTTTAGTTTGGAAATTCTAAGTCGGTGATACCCCGCTCCAAAAAAACTGAAATTATTACTATTATTTATTTCAATGCCTATAAACTAGTGCCTGTTCTCTAGGCAAGTTTCAGCGACATCGGAAAGCGCTTTCATCGATGGACAAGTGAATTTTGGTGAGTGCGTACTTTTTTATCTTTATTATTTGATTACAATGTCTTACTGAGAGTCGTAAGCAAAGAGAGAAAGAAACAAAAGACTCCGTAAGCAAGTTTTTTTTTTAGCAATGGCATCACACGCCTTATCTATTTTTTTTCTGTTTTTGCATATTCAGTGGCGCTCGCATGTGCACAGTTGTTTGTGGTTTAAAGAGATATGTTATTACTTTTTCCTCTCTCAACAAAATTTAACTTGGCTCTCTAGCTGTAAAGTTTTTTTTGTATAATTAATGCTTTATTTGCCATCAATTTATTTCGCATTATTTTACAAAATTTATTAGGTTTAAGTTTTTTTTGTAACTAATTTGAACATGATGGAAATAGTGGAATTAAGTGTCTTATCGAAGAATTAAATTTTATAATGTTTAAAGAAGTAGGGGTCATGGCACTCACCCGCATCAGGTGATGCTGATTAGGCATATTACAATGACCACGGTAGGGTGGGCGACCAGTGCCTCAAAAACAGCTGAGCTGCTCGTAGTGTTTATTTTGCCCTAATGTTTCTTTGTTGTTGCTGTTCGCTCTAAATGTTCCTGTACGCAATCTTTTTTTTTGGTCCGTATGCGTGTGTACCTTTTTTGGCTAGTTCGTCCTATGCACATTTGGTAGTCACATCCAGTTAGTGATGATACATCCGTATACCAAGTTTCATTATGTTAGGTTGATTAGAAAAAAAGTTATAGCCATATAACCAAGCCCAACCTCTGTTCGCAGCTGTATTTGTTGCTGCTTTGACATGTACAAGATATGTATGTACAAGTACACTAACACGCATAGACACGATTCTGACGTAATTGTAAATGTATGTATGGAATATTTTATATTTAATGTAATGTAATTAATTAAATTATTTAAATTTTTGTAATACATTTTTTTTTTTTGGTTGGTACAGGGTTTTTAAGAGTTGAGCCTGCTCGACTTTAGTATTCCTTTCTTGTTTCATTTTTCGAAAGTATCCGAATCGTTTGATCTCATTGACGCAATTGGTTGTGTGTGCTGCTGCGCTTGAGTACCGATTATATTAGGCGAATTTTGGTGTGATTTCAAGATACCTTGTATTCGTGTTAAACATTGCTGCATCGACATTTCCGGGTGGGAGTAGAGTAGATGTTTTTTTGAAAGCACTGGAATGCTTATGGGCTCGGGGATCACAAAAATATTATTTAAAATGAATTTGTAGAAGTGAGTACAGCTTAACTAGGAGTAGGGATCCCTTAAAAAAAATAAGAGGAAAGCATACCAACCATTTTAAATAAATCAACTTTGTTTTAAGTTCTTTTATTATAAACAAGCCAATAACCATTTGATTTATGTAAGATTAGTTAATGTTGTTTAGTTGCATACAATTGTAATATGACACGAAGCTGTGAATGATGACCGTCTATTTCATTTTAGCTTTAAAGATCTCCGAATATTCCTTTATAAGCATACTTATTTGAAATGCCTGAAAATAAAAACGTTGGTAATGAGTAATTGTACTACCATTCATTTTTTTAAATACCTGCAAATATCATGCTTGCGTTTCTACAAAATGTTCCCCTTTCCCTTCCTAGTTTCAGTTATCCAAAGTTGGCCGAACAAATCTTGTGCTCATTTGTTTGTATGTCAACCCCTGATAAGTCATTTATGGCACAAAATGTATGAACAACTTAGTAAAATTTGTACAAGCTTACAGCGTACTCAAAACTGAATAATATATTTATATTTTTTTTAATTAAGCTTTGACTGCGATGTGAGCCAACTGGTACTCCACCAAAACCATATATTTGGTAATTTAGTGTTGCACATAGGAAAAATTTAAAAATTGATCCGGATGAGGAAAGCAATACAGGACAAAAAAACAAACATAAAGGCTCTTAAAATATTATATACCCAAATATTCTAATATTACACCCCTACTTGAAATTTAATCCAAATCAATTAATTCTAAAAAAGGAGGTATGGGAATTATAAAAAGGCTAGATAAATGTTTTAAGCAATCAATACTGACGATATTTCGATGATGTCACTTAACATACATAGATTTTTAATGCTCAGATTAGTAATCTAATTACCTGGGAAGTACTTAATATCACTTTTGATTGTTTTTTTTCTGTTCCAGTGAAAATCATGAGCGAGTTCATATTCGGGGAATAGGATATTATTGATTCATAATCATGAGTGCATAAAACATTTCTTGACCGATGCTCCAATAAATGTATGCCACATTGATCTACCGCCAGCCATAACTTTCTTGGCCAATTGGAAGTAAATGTTTGCTGAAAAAAATAAAATCCACAATTAATTAGTAAACAAATTTAATTTTATAAGTTCCACACTAAGCTCAAACTAGTTTTTTCAAACGCTTATCAGACGAAACGAATAACAACAATGTTTGTTAGGCAAATAAACACTTTTTCACAAATTTAATCTTATCAAGGCGCCTTGAATAAGTTATCAAATAGAGCATTAAATATGTGGAATGCTAAAGTGAGGTGCCGCAACTTCGATATATAATCTGCCTATGTATACAATAAATATAAAAATTTCAAAAACAGAGAAATTAAAAAAAAACAAGAAAGGAATGCTAAAGTCGAGCAGGCTCAACTCTTAAATACCCTGTACCACCCCACAAAAAAGTAATTAAATTAATTAATTAATTTAATTAAATTAATTAACTAAATTAATTTAATTAATTAACTAAATTAAATATAAAATATTCCATGCATGCATACATACATTTACATTTACATCAGAATCGTGCCTTATGCGTGTTTGTGTACTTGTACATATGTATGTATGTGTGCATTGGGCCTGGTTATATGGCTATAACTTTCTTTCTGATCATTCTATCATAATGAAACTTGGTATACGGATATATAATTACTAACCTAATGTGACTAGTTCAAAATTCCAAGAATTACGGGAGTTATAGAAAATCAGTAATAGGGGGGGGGGGGGGGGAGTGGGGGGGTGGATCAGAAAAAATTAACAAACTCGTCCTTTCTCGGTCTCAGGAGAATCTGTATACCAAGTTTGGTTATTCTAGCTCTTATACTTTCGGAGATCCTTGCGTTCATACAGACAGACAGACGGACAGACGGACATGGATATATCGACTCGGCTTGTCATGCTGATCAAGAATATATATACTTTGTGGGGTCTACCAAGCCTCCTTCTGTGTGTTCCATGTGCACTCGCACAAAACTAATATACCCTTGTACCCTTTGGGTACAGGGTATAAAAAGTTTGTCCTGACTGACTGATTGACTGGTTACCAACGCATTACCCAAACGGTGAGCGATAATAAACGGTTTTGGAAAATTCTAGCTCCAAAGTTTGTTTGAAATTTGCGCATTTATCAACCGATCGATCACAAACTTGGTTTTTATACCCTGTACCCGTAGGGTTAAAATGGTATATAAGGTTTTTGCAAAGTATGTATAGTTATCTACTTCAGTTTAAAATTTTATCCAATTCGCGAGCTGAAAAATGTATCAGGGACACCAAATTTTAGTCTAAGATGCCTTTTGTGAATATGCAAAAAATGTGTGTTTTGGAATTTCCCCCGCTCCCCCCTCTCCCCCGCAATCCATAATCCGTATTTCTTGGCAAATACCTCCAGTTAGTGAATATAAGTCCAAATGCCAAGTTTAATTATGATAGGCCGATTTAAAAGGAAGTTATAGCCATATATGTACATAAGACCAAGCAGTGCCCGCAGCTGTTGTTGTTGTTACTGCTTTGCTCAGGCCCACGAGACATACACACACATACACGCATAATTATTCTATAGTAGTATTTCAAAGTCGGGATACCCCACTTTAGCTTCTCTACTTGTTTAAAATTTGTCTGGGAGCTACAATTATTGGGGTTTTAATAATTCTTCACATTTTCAAATAAAAGTTTGTATTATAAATTTTGTCGGGTACAGAATCAACATAACTCTAGATCTAGATTCAACGATTTTCAAAATATAGAAATACTCTGTAATTATGTGAAGATTATTTATAGAAATTAAAAAAAAAACAAGTAAAAAAGCTAAAGTCGGGTGTCCCGACTTTGAAATACTCTGTACATAGTTTACAATAATTATAGAAAAAAAAAATAAGAAAATTTAAAAAAATTTGATCGATTTTACCTCTCTCGGTATTCGAACTCACGTAAAGAGTATATAATTGCACATATACAATGCAATTGCGTCTATGTGAGTGTATGTATGTTTATGTGCGTCTATTTGTGTCTGTGTAAGCATAAGCAGTCAACTAAACAGCAACATCAACAACAGCCGTGGGCAGCACTTGGGCAGCGCTTGAGCAGCGCTGCAGCAGCAAATATATTTATGGCTATAACTTCTTGTTAAATCGGTCTATCATAGTGAAACTTGACACACGGACACATAATAACCAACTGGGGGTATTTTAGTTCGAAATTCCAAGAATTACGGGAGTTAGAGAAAATCGAATTTGCATGGGAGAGGGGGGAGGGAGGGAAATTCCAAAATAGAAATTTTCTGCGTATTCACACAAGGCACCTGGGACTAAAATTTGGTGTTCCTAGGTCTTATAGTCTCCGAGATATAGGCGATTATACGAATGGAAAATCGGGAAAACCCCTATGGGGGGGAAAATCAAAAAAATAAAACAAACTCGTATAGCGTACACACATAAGGCATCTTTGTGCAAAATTTGGTGTCTCTAGCTCTTTTAGTCTCTCAGATCTAGGTGATCATACGGACGGACGGACAGACAGGGCTAAATCGATTGGTCTTGTCGTGCTGATCAAGAATATATATACTTTGTGGGGTCTACTACGCCTCCTTCTGCCTGTTACATTTTTCAGCTCGCGCAAACCTAATATACTCTTGTACATTTCATGTACAGAGTATAAAAACAAGTAAAAAATCTAAAGTCGGGTGTCCCGACTTTGAAATACTCTGTACATATGTTTACAATAATTATAGAAAATAAAAAAATTAAGAAAATAAAAAAAAAAATTTGATCGATTTTACCTCTCTCGGTATTCGAACTCACGTAAAGGGTGTATAATTGCACATTTACATAGCAATTGCGTCTGTGTGAGTGTATGTATGCCTATGCGCATCAATTCGTGTCTGTGTAAGCATTTTCGCAGTCAACCAAACAGCAACATCAACAACAGCCGCGGGCAGCGCTTGAGCAGCGCTGCATCAGCAAATATATTTATGGCTATAACTTCTTGTTAAATCGGTCTATCATAATGAAATTTGGCATACGGACACATAATAACCAACTGGGGGTATTTCCAAAATTTTAGTTCGAAATTCCAAGAATTACGGGAGTTACGATTTGCGGGGTAGAGGGGGGAGGGAGGGGAATTCCAAAATATACATTTTCTGCGTATTCACATAAGGCATCTGGGACTAAAATTTGGTGTTCCTAGGTCTTATAGTCTCCGAGATATAGGCGATTATACGAATGGAAAATCGGGAAAACCCCCATAGGGGGGAAGTGGGGGGGAAAATCAAAAAAATAAAACAAACTCGTATAGAATACACACATAACGCATCTTTGTGGAAAATTTGGTGTCTCTATCTCTTATAGTCTCTGAGATCCAGGTGTTCATACGGACGGACAGACGGACAGACAGGGCTAGATCGACTCGTCTCGTCATGCTGATCAAGAATATATATACTTTGTGGGGTCTGCCACGCCTCCTTCTGCCTGTTACATTTTTCAGCTCCCGCAAACCTAATATACTCTTGTACATTTCATGTACAGAGTATAAAAACAAGATAGAACGCTACAGTCGAGCAAGCCCGACAGTAAAATAGCCTGTACTCTCCACAAAAAAAGAAAAATTAAAAAAAAAAAATTTAAAAAAAAAATTAAATTATTAAAAAAAATTAATGAATTAATTAATTAAGTTAAATTAGAATATATGTTTATGTTTAGTTTTAACAGCATACATTTACATCACGTACCTATGCGTGTTTATATGCGTGTATGTATGCAGCACAAAGTTGAACCAAAGCAGCAACAACAACAACAGCTGCGGGCAGCGCTGCCGACAGAGGCAGCGCATGAGCAGCGATTTTACTTATGGCTATAACTTTCTTCAGAATTGACCTATCATGATGAAATTTGGCACACGGACACATTAGTACTAACTGGATGTACCTACCAAAATTGATTTCAAAATTCCGAGAATTACGGAAGTTATAAGAAAAAACACGAATTGCGGGGGAGTGGGGGGGTGCATCGAAAAAAAACTCAAACTCGTACTTTCTCGGTCTTAGGAGAATATGGAAACCAAGTTTGGTTATTCTAGCTCTTATACTTTCTGAGATCCTTGCGTTCATACGGACAGACGGACAGACAGACGGACAGACGGACGGACGGACAAGGCTATATCGACTCGGCTTCTCATCCTGATCAAGAATATATATACTTTGTGGGGTCTGCCACGCCTCCTTCTGTGTGTTACATACATGCGCACAAAACTAGTATAGCCTTTCACCCTTTGGGTACAGGCTATAATAACGAAGTTGTAAAACATATTACAAAACAAGATAGAACGCTACAGTCGAGCAAGCCCGACAGTAAAATAGCCTGTACTCTCCACAAAAAAGAAAAATTAAAAAAATATATATTAAAAAAATTAAATTATTTAAAAAATTTTTATTAATTTATTAAATTAATTAAGAAAATTTATTTAATACATACATAGAACACATGTTTATGTACAGTTTTACATTTACAACACGCGTCTTTGCTTGTTTATATACGTGTATGTATGTAGCACAAAGTTGAACCAAAGCAGCAACAACAATAACAGCGGGCAGCGCTGCAAGCAGAGCATGAGCAGCGATTTTATTTATGGCTATAACTTTCTTCAGAATTGACCAATCATGATGAAACTTGGCACACGGAAACATAAGCACTAACTGGATGTAACTACCAAAATTGATTTGCGTGTGCGTGTCCATGCGGGCTTGTGTGTGTCTGTGTGTATCCCGTGTGCCTGTGAAAAGCAGCAACAACAGCTGCAGGCAATGCTTGGTCAATGATTACATATATGGCTATAACTTCCTGTTAAACAGGTCTATCATAATGAAACTAAGCATACGGACTTATACCTGGAGGTATTTTCCAAATTTAAGTTCGAAATTTCAAGAAGGAGTTATAGAAAATCGCGGGTGAGATGGGGAGGGAGGCAAATTCCAAAATACATCCTCCATGAGGGGACTTACGAAGTTGCACGCGAACAACTTTAGAAATGTAGCAAAAGCAAAGCGTTG